GAATACTGGGAAATGAATCCTTTCAAACAATAGCTTTCTGTATTATTACTGTTTTGATAGGATCAGTGGAGATGCTCAAAACATCCCACATTAATATATATTTTTTTGATGTTAAAAGTTTATTTAGTTCAGTGTTTCACTTACTGAATTCTGAAGTATAATATATATTTTTTAATCTTTGTGTCAAAAAGTAGGGATTTGGGAATGAATAGAATTTCTCTAGTCCCACTATCTAGAAAACAACATTTTGATTTAGGCATTATTTTTCACACTTCGCATTGGACTGGATGCCGAGGACTTGTCCATCTCAGAAGGCTAAAGGCGGAGGAGTGGGGTTGGGCCACTCCCTGGAGCACTCAGCTGTAGACAAGCTGTGTGAACCAGTGGATGAGATCTTGCCCCAGACTAATGTAATGGGTTTATGTGACTCTTGTTCCTCTGAAAGTTTCTCTTGCTCTCTTCAGAGCTAAAATAAAAGCAAACTGCTGTGTGGATGCGATCTCAGACAGATGGTATCAGTCTGGCCTCGTATCAGTCTGGCCTCGCTGCTTCTGCTCGTGGTGGTGCTGCCGTCTGGTGGGATGATAGGGATCAAATTTTAAATCCTCCTCCCTTCCCCTGCCCCCTTTTAAAAAATGATTTAAATGATCAAGTTTTCCCCCCTTTTTTTCCTATTTGGATCTAAACCTGAGACTAACTTAAGCCCCTCAACCTTTTTGTTGCCTGTGTGGTTTTGTGCCAAGGAAATCACAGCCCAGTGTTTCCGGTCTGGCCGCCTCTGAGTCTGGTCGAGCAGAGACGCATTGCGCAGCCCCAGCTGCTTTTCTTGATCAGTTTTCTCATGCCCAGGACCTGACGAGCCAGGGAGAGGCCTGGGTTATGTCTGTACTTAGCACCTGCGGTTGTCAGGTGTGGGTGGGTGTGAGCGCAGAGGTGTTCAGGAGCTGGGTGTAGCTCATGTTCTGGTTTTTGGGAACGTGACTGCATTGGGGTCGGCCTATACAGTTACTTGTGTCGTCATAATGATTTCACTCTTGATATTTTTATCAAATGTGTGAATAAATAAAGATTGGTATAAAGGAGTATGTTTTTGGACAGGTGGTGGTGGGGAAATCTTGCATATTGGGGCTTATCATTGCTTCCTGACTATGAAGTTTGAAAAGAAGAGTTTCTACTGGTAGAGTTGGCATGTGGAAGTAAGTGTGGTCCTTCCTGGTGGTGGCTGACCCAGCTAACCACTTTGGACAGTGAGCCCTTTCCAGGTGACCAGTTGGCAGCTGAAAAGCCACCTATTTCCACTTCCTTGTGTTGATCTAACCCATGTCCTTTGTTTTTAAAGAGGGATCAAATTGGAGGAAACAGTGATAGAACTTTGCTGATTAAAACTTGAGGGAACGAGAGGAGGGGACTTGAGCAAGCCCGGGTCTGGAGTTGTGGAGGGGTCAATTCAGGGCCCTGTTGGAGAGGGGGTGGTGAGCTCAAAACCCACTTGGCCTGTGGGAAGTAGTGTCACACAGGCAATTCTGCTGGGATGCAGACTTCTCCAAGGCAGTTGATGGAGACACTGGGAGCATAATGTGAAATTTGAATTTATGTGTAATTTTGCCTGTGGGAAACACAAGTGCACACCCAGAACCTTAACTTTTTTCTCTGAATTTCTCCAAGATCACTGGATAGACTGGTTGTCAGGAAGTGTATGCTTGCAGGTACACATGTAATATGAAATTTGGGGAGTTGGCTGTTCTGGCCTCCTGCTGCAGAGGCCCCTGCACAGCGTGCCTAAAGTGGTTCTCTAGGTTCTGTTGAATGCTGACACTCAGCAGCTGAGCTCTGACTGAGGGTAGCACATCCTGTGTCCGACAGCTCTGGCTCCCAGGAAGTTCTATATGTCCTTGGATTAGCAGGAAAAACACTGCCATTCTTGGAGACAGTGTTCATGGGACCCTCAGCTTTCCCCAGGCTTTATGTCTCTAGCTTCAAAAATCTTCAAGTTGAAAGAGTAATAAAGTGTGGGGCAAAAGTAGGTTTACAGCTGTATGTGAAAGTTAATGAACTTACTGTAATAACCATGTGTTTTTCCATTCAAACTGTATACCATGTAGACCCCTCCCCTACCTTTGCAGATAATTAACAGCTTGTTGTAGTGTGTGTTTTATCTTTTTCTCTACAGATAATGCTGTGGACTGAACTGTGTCCCCATAAAATTTGTGTGCTAAAGGCTCACGTAATGGCATTCTAGGTGGGGCCTTTGAGAGGTGATTAGGATTAGATGAGGTCAGGGTGCAGCCCCATGATAGGATTAGTGCCCTTGTCAGAAGTGACAGCAGAGGCTTGCTTCTCCCTCCCCACCATGTGAGGGGGTGGGGATGGCCATTGGCAAGCTTCACCCGGGGGACAGCTCGCCAGGAACAGAATTGGCCAGCATGTTGATCTTGGACTTTTAGCCTCTAGAACTGTGAGAAATAAATTTCTGTTGTTTGTAGGATTTTGTTATGGCAGCCCAAGTAGACTGATACACTTGTCACCATTTGAAAGTAAGTTGTAAACATCACATTTCACCCCTAAACACGTGAGCATGTTTTTTTTTATAATAAGGTTATTCTGTGTAACCACAGTACCATTATAACACAGATAATTTACCTAATAATGTAGTTCATATTAAAATTTCCCCACTTGTGCCCCCCAAAGGACTTTCCTAGCACCCCTCCCCAAAGTCCAGGCTCCAGCTAAGTATCCTGTGTTGCATTTGTGTCCAGTCAATAGACAAGTAGCTGAGGTAGCTGAAGCCGGCCCCTTGTGGAATGTAGCTTCATGGGTGCTTTCAGGTAGTACAGCGTAGTGTAGGGGTTCTCCAGGTTAGCTCTGCCTGGGCCCCGCTCCCGAAGACCAATCACAGAATTGCTGGGGTCCAAAGTGTGGAATGTTGATGCAACCAAGAGGATCCAAAATGGGCAGTAGCCTCTCTTGATCTGGTACGACCAGTATAAGCTAAGGTGCCGTTACTCCGTCTCACTGTTAGCTTATGTTGGGCTTGGGATCAGCTAGTAATTGCCCCCATTACTGAGCACTTCCTGTGCTGGACCTCACCCTACAAAAGCCCTATGAGTATGTAGCTATCCCTGTTTTATAGGGAGGAAAGGGCATCAGGTTAAATAATTCTCTTGCTCAAGGTCACAGGAAGTGACAGAGTCAGGATGCAGACCTGGCTTCTCCTTTGCAAAGACACCTCTGGCAGCATGGCTCGGGTTAGTATCTCAAATGCTGCCGTGCAAACTCCTTCCCAGGGCTGTTGACTTATTTCGGAACCTAGATTGTAGGCTTTCTTTTTATCCGTCTTTGTTAAATTGTATGTGCTTTAAACCCTACTTTCACTCCTAGGAGGATTGAAGCATGCAGATTTCTGAAAACTTCAGGATGTACACCACTTAGTAAAAAGGGAGGGGACAGTATTCTTGGGGACCGCTTGAGGTCTCATTTTCTAAAAATGTTTATTACAAGGTAACCTGTGTCTGTACCCAGGGTAGTAGGGCAGGAATCTGGAAATCCTTATGTATATTTTTATTGATTAAAGAGGGAAGGAGGGAGAGGGAGAGAGAAACATCAATGATGAGTCATTGATCAGCTGCCTCCTGCATCTTCCTACTGGGCATCGAGCCTGCAACTGTGGCGTGTGCCCTGACTGGGAATCGAACCATGACCTGGTTCACAGGTCAACACTCCAACCACTGAGCAGCAGTGACTAGGCTGGAAATCCTTTTCAAAATAAAAATAATCTTCATAAAATCTGAGAACTCTTGATTTCTAATGAGTAATCTTGCAAGTGTCTAGAACAACGGTAGCACATGGATGGAAGTGATCTTAATATGAAATATGCTTGTTTCCATGAACCTCAGTGGTCACTTGATAGAGCAGCATTCTAAAACCCCCAGGCCACACACCATCACAGTTGCTCTTAGAGCCTCATGGTTGATTTTGCTCCACAAATACACTTAAAATTTTTTTCAAATAACAATGTAACTTTATCATCTACTTTTAAAGAGCCTAACCACCCAAAAAGGTAGGGTGAATGTTTTGAAAGTAGTAATATTTAGGTGTTTTATGGTTAGTGCATTTTTTCATATCTTAAAACTCTGCTGTGTACACGAGTTAGGGTTATGTCCTCAGACTCAGGCTGCTGCTGTCTTGAATCCCCTTCCATCACATGGGGCTGGCATTGTCCCATTTCTGGATAAACTATAGTTTGTCAATGCTTTTCCCAAAATGTGGAGCCCAGGACTGGCCCTGACTGCTCCCAGGTGGGTGAGCACCCTGAGGAGAGGCTGTGTCTGCTCGTTGCCTGCTTGCTGCATCCTCGGTGCCTTATGGGGAAAAGAATGTCTCTCCCTTAAGGACACTTCCCAGAAT